GGCCTCCAAACTAATAGGAACGGCCTCCAAACTAATAGGAACGGCCTCCAACCTAATAGCGGTAGCCGGGTAGCCTTTCTTTAGCAATCCTCATTGAACATGGTCCATGAGTTGTGCCATCTACTGGTACTCTGAAGATCTCTGAAGTGTGTTGTGGGTAGGGGGCTGCCCCTTGCTTTCTCGTGTTTCTTTTACTTTCTTCGGTTCAGCAGCTGTGCCTGGGGGAGGAGATGTGCCTTGACACTTCGGTGTTTGAACATTCCACCCAAAGGATCGCCCCCGTGGTTCACCCGATGAAGGTCACCGGTGAGACTCGGGCAACGTAGAACGCCGAGACCGGAGATCGGATGAAGTCAAAGTCCAAGCAGAGACACGTCGTCACATCCTGTGGTGACACTTTCATCCTTTTGGTCCTTTGATTTCCTCGCTGATTTGCTGAAACTACTCAAACCTGCTCACAGCCACTCACCCACTCACCCCACCAAACTGGAGAAGAGCATCAGGAAGAAACTTCTGAAGCTGAAGTTCCCTCCACGTGAGGCAGAGAAGACTCATCTAAGGAGGCCAATGTTATTGGAGTTCTTCGGCGGGAGGTACGGAGGGTGGGGTGAGCTGGGAAAGCCGGATGGATGGCATTATGGCTGCGAAGCAATTGGCTCCTCTGCGAAGGTGGAAATTCGCACGGCTCAGACTCTCCACTGAGGGTTTCTCAAGTTCCAGCAGGGGCTGCACCAGCACCAACCACTGCGCCAGTCAGAAGACTCAGAGATACAGAAATCAGCTAAGGGCGAACTCCTTTGGCACAGCCGTCATTCCTCACTGCCGGAAGTCGGAGGGAGGCGATGGCCTCCACCCAAGTAGCGATGGGCCTCCAACATCCTACGTAGCAACGGTGTCCAACCTAAAGTTGAAATTATTTGGGACTGGCTCACACTCTTTGTTGGACATCACTTTGTTGACTCCATAAATGTTTCATTTCGGATACCGAACACTTCCGCTTCTGACCGATCCCTTGTGCCGACGGCCATCGTGATTGTGATGCTGAGGGTCCAAAAGCACAAGAGATTTGGCGTGGTACGAGGTTGCTGATTGGTGACTTGGCATTCGCTGCGGGACATCCTTTCAATCCGGACATGGCGCCTGCGGTTGGGGAGAAACATGAGACATGGAACACCTTTCGCTGAAGGAGGTGGATTGACCTTCCTCCAGGCAGGTGCACCGGCTAAATGCGTCCAGCAGCTGCAGATGTGGAAGAAACGTTCTTTTTGACATGTTCTTGTGTGGTACCACGGCTTTTCCTTCGCATTGGCAGATCTACGTGTCACCCAGTATCCACCACTAGATGCGGTTCCAATAACCATCCATACGGTCCATAACGTTTGTTTTCTTCTCATCCTTTCTCAAGGTCTTGGGAAGCCTTTCAACTGTGTGTGGATCGTATTTTTATGTATTTTTAGTCCATTGGTGCGACCTGCGTCTACCTCTCTGCCTCTCCGCATTGACGCGCAAATCTTTCGTTCTCCGTTCTTCCTTGCTTTCCTCGGGAAGATCTTCATGGACAGCCGTCACTGTCGCCCAACCTGCCATATAAGGATATTTTGTCCTCGCCAGCGGCATTGCTTTGTGGCTGTTTGGGGCCAAGACCGTGAGCAACCAGTTTTTGACGTCACCATAGGAACGTTGCAGACGGAATTTGAACACAGCGCTTGGAAGATAATGTTTAAAGCTGCCTCATTCCACCACGAAAGCTTTTGGACCTTCCATTGAGTGGAAGTTATACATCCAACTGGTGGGGTATCTGCGTACAGCCAGATGGTCCTTGTGTCTATTTCCATTTAACCTCTCCAACATGTCAAGAAACAGCTTCCTTGTTTTCTTCTTCCGTTTTGAGTTTTGATTGGTGTCTCCGCCGAAAGAAAGATCAAATCAAGGTATTGGATCCCAAAGCTGGTCTACACAGAATACCAGAACTTTCAGGCGGAAGATTTGGAGGCACATTTGACCGGATTGCATCCGCTGTCAAAAGGAAAGCTTGCCTAGGGCCTAGGAGTCGGGGAATGCGGTATCCACGAAGCCTGTGTTTGGAACTCGAATTAATCTACCATAATTAAGCTGGTTGAGGCGAGCGCAGGTGAGCTCACCGTTGTTGCCCTAGCAGTCAAGGAAATTTGTCAGCTAGATTGCTGCCAAGAGTTGTTTCCAGAATCATACTTTAGCTTTGGATTATGGTTGTTCCCAAATAGACAGCTTATAATTATACACATGCATACTGCCCTAGTTGCCCAAGTTGGTCTAAAGGTCTACGCTTCTTCGCAATTGGACTGGTCTCCCAGAGGGGTCCCCTCCCAACCCAGGGTCGGTCCTTTCAGATGTATTTGACGCTGGGCGCCTCAGCGAGCGATCTCCGTACGCTTCGGCTGGTACGTTGTCCCTTTGGCCTGCGACACTGAAGAAGAATCCTCAAATAATCCAAAGAAGAGTATCAGCCACCATGATGGTGTTTTTCAAACTATGATGTTGGGCTACAGGCCAACCGGTGCTTAGATAGTCACCATGGCCCATGTATTCCAAGATATGCTTGGTGATACTTTGGTCTTTGGCATCCTGAAACCTGAGATACCGATTCAACTACTGGATGAACAAGCAGGGCCTCGCAGCGATGGGCAAGATCCTCCTGCCGGGCTGCCCAGTTGCGTTCGCTTTGGCCACAGACTAATGCTGCGGTGTGTGAAAGAGTCACCTTCTCAGCACCCTTCTTGCGCGTCTTTGTGGGAGCCCACTGACGGAATTCGGACAGAAAACCGCAGAACGGCTACCGCACGGCTCCCGCATGCGTTTTGCCTTTAATTCTAATAGCTTCTTGTTACTACTAGTAAGGCACTTGTTACTACTAGTAAGGCACTTGTTCCTAGTAGCTTTTTGCCAACATGCCGACATGTCTGGCTCGAACGACTCGAGGATTGGAGTCTTGACGCTTTTGACCTCTGGGGCTTTGATGTACGCAGCCTTTGCAGGGGCCCTCTGTGGTGGAGAATAGAACTACATTGGGACCACCATGGTTTTCTATACTGGGCATGATTTATAGTTCAGGTTATGTAATTTAATGTTTTTTGTTTTTAGAGGGTAAACCCTCCACATCCTTAGGGTGTAAAATACTAGGGCGGGGTTGTGTATAGAGATGGAGAGTGAGATGGGGCCAACAGCATTTAGAGCCAAATGAGTCCAAAGATGAATAGAGGGTCAGGTCGGCCTTGTTTATCTCTTGGTCGTCAGTGCCTCAGGCCAAACTTAGGATCTCGTCAACGCTGAACCCAAAAACCCTAAACCCCAGAAAATGGGAACTGACCCTCCAGAGGACGCTACTAGGAACAAAGGGCATCGCTACTAGGAGCAAGGGCGCTACTAGGGGCTCCTGGCCTTACTACTAGGAACAAGAACGCTATTAGGAACAATAGATTAAAATTAGAATCTAATTAGAATTGAAACACAAAGCTATTGGCGGTTCCAAGAGGCAATCTGCCAGAGGTCAAGTTGGCTCATGGCCCAGGTGGCTACGGCGATCGATTCTCCATCGGCCAGTCAACGATGTTCACATCCTTCGGGTTTGGCCTCCAAGCTAATAGCGATGGCCTCCAACCTAGAAGAATTGTGTATGTCATTCTCAAGTTCACATCCTTCCGTTTTTGTCCTGCACTCGGATCCGCCGCCACCTAGGTTGGTGCATCACCTGTGACTGGGCTTTGGGCCTCTTGGAGCATTCAGCCGGAGCGAACACGGTGGGGTTCTCCAAGATCCAAAACGGCAGTGGCACGAATAGCTACTAGTATATAACAAGGACGCTGCTCCTGGCATTGCTACTAGGAGCAAGGACGCTACTAGTAGCTCCTGGCATCACTACTAGGAACAAGAAGCTACTGGGAACAAATTATATCCGTGGTCTCAATTACATTACTCGTTACTCATTCCTGTGACCACCACAGATGAGTGGAGAATTTGACAGTATGCCACAGTATGCCTCAAGGAGCCTCAAGGTCTACTCTAACTTCCAGGTGTTTGAGGGAGGACTTACCACGTCTGTGAGACCTAACACACCATGTTGATCCATTTCGATGTATCTTGATTATAACTTATAATCATATAACAAACAAAAGCAATTGCTTCTTGAGGATGTCCAAACCACATGTCGCCCTGAGTCAACGCCCAGGTTTGCTTCGTTTGGGCATCAGCTGCATCGGTCGATCCGGGTGCACCGGCCACTTGCCCAGCATGAGGAGCTTCACACCCGGACATCCACCAAGGGCTCACTGGAAATCCTGTGAAAGCTTAAGCCGTGTGGGCTTATTCCGTGTCCCAACGAATGGCCAAACCAAAAAGTTTGCCGATTGGCGATGCTTGCATGCTGAGCCGGTCAGTGTCCCGATCGCGCAAAAAAGAGTGTTCCGAGGCCATCACAGGTTTCGTGGGAATCGTGACCACCTTGGGTGGTTTGGTGTTGCTGGCAGTGCTCCTCACCACGATTTCGGACTACTTTGCCAAGCAAGTGGAGGAGAGAGCCTCACGTGCAGTGAGTGGACATGCAGGAAAGTGAGTGGTGTTGTGTTTTGGTCAAGGTGTCCACGCAAAGTGATGGAAAGCCTCCACAACTGAAGGTTAACACGCGGCGGTGCCCCTGGTGTTGTAGGCGCATGTTTGATGTTTTTGTTGGCATACGCCGAAGCGGAGATTCATAGAAATGTCCAGGAATGTACTGTTGCACCTTGCTAAATGGGAATGGAATGGACATGCAAAACGAGAAACTGTTGATTATGGCCATATGTACTATCATCAGAACTCCTCCTAGTGAACGTCCCAAAACATGAAATCTTGACCATTGCCCCTGGTCCATCTGTTTTTGTTGTAATCATATTGTCCCCGCCACGGTTTTCTGGCCTTGCTGTAGTTTGCGGCGTCAGGCCTCCAAACAAGGCCGCGATGTTGTCGTGGAAGGGAAACACCTTCTCGTGCCGAGCTGACTCTGACAGTGGATGATGGTATGCGGAAGCCATGCTTTTGTGCCATATTTTGCCTTGTGTATGTCGTTCTCACATTTGCGTCGTTGTTTTTCTCCTTTTCCAAACTCTTTGTTTCAGAAGTCATAGCTCACTGTGCAACATGCTGCTTAAGCTGCAAGACTGAGTTGCTGGGCCATTCGGTGCAGACGAAGCAATTGCATCGAGCCCTAGTGAAAGGTGAGTTGGGCACATGTGGCACAAGGTCGAGATCTGGTCAACTACTGGCATGGTTGAATCCTGGAGAGTCTCCATGTAAATAGCTAAGTAGTACAGGACATGAGTCTGCTTGATGTTGGTGCTGACGCCTGCTCTTTGACCGACGGAAGATGATGGTCTAGCACTGTCTCTTTTCGCTTTTCCTACTTGTTTGCAATTCCGGCCGGGCGGCCAGCCGGGGTTCATCCGAGGCTCGAAGAGTTTGCGCTCTGCGAGGCCGACGACAAGCCCACAACCGTGGTGATCTTGGCAAGTCAACCGAAGCAGGAGTGCTGTGCTGTGCCACACGTGTGCCGTTCCCCTTTTTGCACCCTTGCGTCGGGAAAGAGGTCGTCCTGTTGAGCAGGTTAATGGCACCACCTTTAACACAATAACTCAATTGTTGTAGATATATCTTTTCAGGGGGTGACGGAGTGATTTCTGCATCGCCCAGACTCAGCTTGCTTAGACTACTAGCCAAAGAGGTGATGTGAACAGGCTTCCAACACAAGCAAACGCGGGAGCCATTACATTATATATATATATAATTTTATACACAACGCTCTTTCATACGGGTTACAAGGTACGGGTTACGAGCACGAGGTGCCAGGTGTATCCAAGTACTATCAAGTACTTCTCAATCCTCAAACCAGATCTACCTGGCAAGGAGTACAGCAGTCCCAGACCTGTTGTGGGACCCAATTTAACGTAGGCTGGTGGTGGTGGCGACGGCGGTGGTGTTCTTGTTAGACTTCTCGTCATTCTTGTCAATGTTTGTTGCTTTCTTCAAGGACAATTCTTGGAATGAAGATGCGGCACAAGAGAACTCCTTCCTGCCCTTCATGGTACGTCAACATTTCCCAGCAGACTATTTTGGTCATGTGTTTTTGCTACAACGGCACAGATAGGAGTAGGCTTTGTCCACATCTATCATCATCTATCACAGGTGAAGCGTGTAAAGGACTTATCCTCAAACCAGGAGTCCAATCCTCGTCCTAAGTAGCTAACTGGGATGAAGTTTGATGAAGTGATCACGTGAAAATCGAGGTTTGATCTAGGCTTTTTATCGGCAGTGACACCAACCCAGGAAGATCTAAGGTGTTTCTCCGAGGAACCAATGTAGCAACGCAGAGGAGTGTTGCCAGGCAAACTTCTTCAGGTATCGGTATGCAGGCCTCAGATCTTCTACCACAATTCCGAAGGCAATATTTGAGGGAGTGATCACAGAAGGTGCTGGACTTGTGCCAAGAGCTTTCAGGGGAAACAATTGTGTCATAGACAGGAAATCTCAGGCAACTGGATAGGGAAATCGTTTTGAAACGCAGAGACATAGATTATCAAAGCCCCCAGCCCGGCATAGGAAGTGGAAGATGAGATTGCATCTCTGAATACTGACTTGGGCGACTTAAAGCTGGTCGTGCGTAGTGGAAAAGCCTGTCTGGCACTTAGAAATGTGCCACTCGTGGATGTTTGACAGTTTGTTGAGGTGAGAAATTGAGATGCATGGCTTTTGAACATCACAGACGTTTAGTCAGATCAATCACCCTGCACGTTCATTCGTCCCCCTGGTGACATGCGTGCACCATGTGCGCTGCAGGTGACAAGACAGACTTGTGGAAGGTTGGTGCCGACAGTAGCGGCCCGAGGATGAGAGATGTGTGACCTAGGCCGTAGGCCCTGTAGTCTTGTGGAGCCCCAAGCAGGTCTACAGGCGATATCCTCAGCATTTTAGTTCCAACCGGATGGGACACATACCAGTGATTTTGAGGTCGCCAAGCTGATCCTTAATAAGCAAATGATCAGCCGTCGGAGTGGATTTTGAGTTGACCATTGAGGGATGAACCAAATGGACTGATTGCCGAGGCGCAACTCGAATTGTGATTCCAGAGAATCCATCCGTAGCTTGGCGAAGAGAGAGGACTGTATGTTGCCAATTTGGGTGTGTACTGGAAGCTGGAGCAGGGACCATCAGGGACCCCCAATGCAATGGAGTTTATAGGTTTAAAGTTGATGTGTCCTTTTAGATTTTTTACCAAAGAAGCTTCGCAAGACTGGCGACTCCGCACCCTTTGCGACCCCGAAAGGGTCCGAGCGGGGTTGACGTCTGAGGTGTCCTGGGATGAGTCAGATGCTGCGACGATGGGAATTCTGCTGACCTTGAAGAGCCAAGGGAAAGCAGGCCCACCGAAGTAGCGGGTGGAGCGGCGCTTGGGAGTTAGCAGTGGGTCTTCCAACGGGTTGTGCTGAAATGAAACTCTGCCAATATTTGACTGACACTTGATAATTGGATACGCTTATGAGATGATTGGACACTGTTGAAAATATGGCAACCATATCCATCTAGGCCTTTCTCCACTCCAAATAATGAGTCAGGAGTGTGCTACGAAAAGTTCATTGCCAAGTGTCGTCGTTGTCGTCGTCATCATCATCAGCCGCAGCATCACAGCCATTGTCATCCACACTTTCCTCATCCACAACATCCACAACGTCCACGTCATTCGCGGGCTGGGCAGGCAATAGTTAGCCCGCAGGAAAACGCATTGAGACAAGGTTGGAGGCCATGACTATTACGTTTGCATTGGTCATTGTCCGAGTTTGAACGCTGAGAGGCTTCAGAGGTGCGATGAATGGATAAAACGTCGTTGTGTAACACGATCCAAACGGTAATGGATAAAGAGACGTCGTCATGTTTTTCACATCACATAGTCGATGAGTGACCACCAACGTTCAAAGCCTTGCAGGTTGGCCCAACAATGGCTACGTAGCTGTGCAGTGCTGCTTAGGACGGAATGCCAAGGCCCCAGTGTTTTGAAGATGCAGATGACAATTCCAGTCAGGAATACACCAAATGACCTGACACTCAAGAGACTGAATGAAGCACAGAGCATCAGAGCTCAACAACGCCAGAGACAACAGCCTTCATGAAATGGTTCGAATGACACCACGATTCTTGGCCCAATGTCCCAAAGCCCAGCTCAGGATAGACAATTCCAGGATGACAACCAAACTTAGCTATAAATTCGATGGGGAAGACGGCTGGGGGTCTTCTATTTTAGATGATGGGAGGGCGACGACTCTTGGGTGCAGTAAGAAAAAGTGCTTCTAATGCCAGACACAGGTGAGTCAGCAATACTTAGGCTAGTGCCTTCCTGGCATATAGACGAAAGGGGACAAATGAGTAGTCACGCAAATCGAGGTGAACTACATGCAGGAGCTGTATGACAAGACCTTCATTCTCTCGGGAGAACGCTTGGGACGCATCATGGTCCAAAGTGTCCAAGATCAAGGACGCAACTGGGACATCTTGGGGCGTGTCTTTTGCCTGTAGGAACTATTGCCCTCTCAACTGTTGGTGGATGGCTACAGAAGCGATTTTGCTCTAATTGAATATGGATGCTGATTGCTAATTCAAGCTCCCTTTGGCATCTGATTACAAGGAAGCCATCTTCCCAGAACCCAAAGCACTTAGGTGATGTAGCTGCTGTGCTCTGCCAGATTTCATTGCTGATTGTTAACAGAATGAATCAAACTTTATTTTGGGGGGCGTCCAGGTGGTGTTGAGCATCCGCAAGACCAATCCAGTGGTTTGTGCAGGACTTTGCTCTGTCTTCAACCAGATCATTGGATTTAGCGGAGATGAGTTCTACATTGCTCCAGCTGAGGCTGGGTTTCAGTCCGTCTGGTCGGAGTTCAACGACGTCACTCAAGCTGCAAACTGTTTCCAAGTTTGGACCAAACAGGACGTCACTGGCGCTGAAGGCACCACAAGTGCTGAATGACAATGCGTTCTTGTTTTTCGACACATTTTCCAGCGCAGGTCTGCCTCAGTTCAGTTTGGTGTTTGAATCTGCTCGGTGTTTGAATCTGCTCGGTATGCTGTTCGCACTAGGCTCCGCATGGCTCGGCGACTCACTCATTCGTATCACTTTAGGTACATAAAGTCTGCATGGGTACCCATTCCCTGTTTAGGTATGTTTAGGTCATTCGTGTATAGAGTCCATAGAAGTTCGAGTTTTCAGAAGCCAGATAGGTTAATCATGGTTGATCTAAGCGGCTGAACCCTGAAGAAAGGACACGGAGGGTTGGGATCTTGGGCCGCAGGAGCTGGGTGTGGTGGGCAAGAGCTTCGAAGAGTCGCTCAGATGGAACGGCAAACGACGGACACGACATGCGACATGGGAGGCTCCAGGATTCGTCGACAGGTCTGCCGTTCGGTGGGTTCGATCTCATTTTCTGACATATTGGCAAATCAAAATAGGTACCGCATATGCCTCTGAAGATTCCGGGCACCAAACCCATGTTTGTCGCCTTGCGTATGTAGAGAGGGTCGCGTTCCAAGTACATCTAATCTAATTACTATACTCCTCTCAGATGCTGCCTGGATTGAGGGGGCCCGCAAAATTAAATCAGAGATTCACTTGTGATTTTCGAGAACCTGCAAGCGTTGCAGACTTTTTGAACATCTCTTGTCTCGTTCCAACCACCGAGTGGTTCCTCCGATTGCTGGCACTATCTGGCACTTGTAGGTGGATCTCTTTGAGTCCCGCCGAGTCACAGATTGTGACGTGTCATGACTTCCAAGGGAGGTGACTCAGCAATGTCTGGGTTCACCAGGCACTACTCTTTCCTCTTACTCACTGCTTTCTGTTTCAGAAAGGGTCCAACATCGTCCAACAAAGCAATGTGCTTTCATTCCAAGCTTTCACTTGGCCTGCTGTCTTTTGAGGCTTCCCTTCTGGTTTCCCATCACAGTCCCGCTCGGTGTCATCAACGGAGACGGAAACTATCAGGTCAACCCTGAGAAGTCGTGCTTTGGCTGAGTTGGGTACTGGATGGTGGTGATGTTTGGAATACATGAAAATTCGAAATTTCTACCAAACACCCAGTGTAATGACAAGTGCAACAAGGAAACAGACATTTCACCAGGACGTTGCCATCAGTCAGATGGAGAACGGAGGGGGTGGGAGTGGTGGTGGGCAGTCGCAGTGGGTGGAGATGAGGTCAGTGGTGGCTAGTTTGTAAATGTTTGTTGGTGGCGGCGGCACGTCATTGGTGGTTTTTGGGGGTCTGGAGGAAGGGCCAGCAGGCCAGCAGGCCTGCAGGCTTGCGCGCACACTGCAGAGGCATTTGTCGGGGGGGCGGGGCATGTCACCCAGAAAGATGCATGGCGTAAGTGTGAACTCATCCAGTCAGCTTCCTGGGTTCCTAGTTTTTGAGGATAAAGCTAGTAGGTAGGATTAGGAGGCCGCTTCTAGGTGGGAGGCCATCGCTAGGTTGGAGGGCCAAACACCCGGGAAGTCCCGGCCGCCCGTGACCTCACCGAGGTACCGAGTCCAAGCTGAGGACGACCGTTTTTTGGGGTTTTCGACGAGTTCGATGACTACTAGTAAGCTACTAGTAACAAGGGCATTACATGGCATTACTAATAACAAGAAGCTACTAGGGTGGAGGCTATCGCTATTAGATCTATTAGGTTGGAGGCCAGTACTACTAGAAGCTACTAGTAACAAGTGCAGCGCTTAGTAATAAGTGCATCGCTACTAGTAGCTTCTTGCTACTGCCCGTGTTACTAGTGGCGATGCACTAATCTCGGATTCTTTGTGGGGTGTTCCCACATCCGACAAACGGCAAGAGTGCTTGTTCAGTTTCCTAGCTCTTCGGTTCATCCGTTTGTGTTCCTACGACCCCAGGACGCAGTTATCCTTTTGGCTGATGATGACGATGCAGAATCTTGAAAGCATTGTGATCGCTCCTTTCCAGGGTATTTCGTCAAACAAAGACAATCCAATAGATTGTCCCGAGTTCTACTTGGCACCAGATACAATCAGAAGACGCCTTGAGCCTTGATCTTTGACACACGCAGATCGGAGGGACTTGTGTGTGAAAATGGCACGTTCTTCCTATCCCTACTTGGTTCTGTGATCCAGATGAGACTTGTCGAGGGAGTCTGACAATTTGTTCGGACAAGTAAATGTTGACGCAGGGTTCTTTGTCTAGGAATTACTATTATAGTAATTATTAACACAACATATATAATGATATGATATAGTATATATAGTTATATATATATACACTCCGACTCACTAACATGGAAGTGGACAACACCCTGTTTGTAAGGAAAATAGTCTTCCAAGAGGCCATTTTCCACTTCCATGTTAGTGAGTCAGAGGGTAACTGTGAATTACAAGTGCCCGAATTCCCATGGGGTCCCATTGACATGTCTCCACAGACCCGATCTGGTCCATCATGACCAGAAATGTTGGTCGCTGACGAAGGAAGACTTTCGCGACATCTGCTGCTCAGGTTCAGCCTGTGGATGCGGTCGAACCATTCTTCGATTATCACATTTGGTCCAGCCAGCGTTCCGCTGCATCTTTCCAGGAGGCGGACCACATCCAGCGTCAGGGACCAATTCGGCGGGGCTGAACTGATGTAGGATTTTGCCAACGGAACAAGAGCCTTCTACGGTTCCCTGGACGGTGCTGGATTCTGTATATCAACAGCGGGAGATCCTTTGCCCAGCACGTTCAGGCCTTCATTTGGTTTTGTGGAGCAGAATGTGTTCCAAAATAATCTAAAAGCCAAATTGCTATGAAACAGGGGACTTGTCCTTTCCAACGCCACACTACTCGTGTAATAAACATAATATACACAAATTAAGTATATCATATATTGCCCACGGACTCTTGGCTCAAATCCCAAAGACTATTTTTAGCAGCCACCCATGAAAACCCCAATGTAGGATTTGAGCAAAGAGTCTTGAGGTACAACGGGGCAGGATTGTACCCTTTAACGGACACTGTCCACCGTTCATAGGGTAGTGTAAATGCAACTCGTTTCAATCACATGTCAGAGGACCATCTTGCAAGCATGAACATCCGCGACATTGCTTGCGATTTTGCGGTATAATTACTGGGATTCACAAACATGTTGGGGTCCCATGACCCATTTTGAGCAGCGCCAAACTTTTGATTGCAGGGGGAGAACAGGGGCGTGCAACCATCCCACAAGTCAGTTAAACAATCAATGTGTTGAGAACATTGTAGCTCACACGAGACCAACCCGCACCAATGTACGCCAGTTCGCTGGCGTTGTGATGTGCTTGCGAGCCAAGTCAAAGAGTACCAGTGCTGTGCAACAATGTGTCAAGACATGCCGAGACCCTTCTGCTTGTGTACCAAGTGACATGAGTGTAGCCAGATGCCTCAATGCCTCAGTGGCAAACCTCCGCAGTCTACTACTAAGATTGACATTACTAGAATGTACAGCTTTCTTCTCATTGGGCTGATGTTGACTCGCGAGTCTCGTGAGTTGTCAGGTGAACCTACATGTTTACAGTGGTTGCATGTCTATGGTTTGGTCAGAAGTTTCATGCTTGAGTTTTTTCGCGTGGTGTCCTGCATTTTCGTTGCCCCTGATCTTCTGGCACCTGGCAAAATGATCCGCCAGGCTAATCCTAATGATGGTGAGACGGTGAAGGCAGGACATGGCAGACCAGAATGTTTTTTTTTTTCTAAAGACGATATCACTTGCTATCATAAACAGGATATCTTGGGAATTTGGTGATGGAGCGCTACACGGAGTGTGTGTGACTCTTTGTGTCCGAAAGCACATCGTTTACACAACTGACGGGGCGTGTCTTATTGCGTGTCAGGCCTTAATTTGCAACTTCAATGACCGAAACTTCGGATGTGCTATTCTGCCTCTCAGCTGCAGTTCTCAGCGCCAAATGTTCCTTTCAAACGAGACGAAATCGGAATCCCCACCCGGAGTGGAGTTTTCACTTCTTCGAATTCCACCTCTGGAAGACATGTGACACACCAACGCCTGCGTTTCCCTGGGCCAACCACTTTAACACGGGGATAGGTGGACTATAGACTGTGTCACAAGTTGAAAGTTTCATCGATGTGACCCGTCACTGCCAGGGAAGCTAAGCGACCACACACATCCTCAAACGGCTTCCAAAGGTTACTCTGAAGAACCGGGCAGACGAAGTGCTTTGTATTCGTTTTCCCATGGGTCAAGATCCGATCCCAGAAGTTGTGCCAGGTGAAGTATTTGGATATGTTTAAAACAAAAAAAAGGAAGGAACAGCCACATATATGTTATATATAATGTGTCTTTTTTTTCTCCAGAATTTGAGACTCTGTGACTGATCCACAGCTGTTTTGGAACCAAACGCCGCTGATGACTGGCATTTTGCTCGACTCTGCTCGACTGAACGCTTATTTGTGCGTTCTTCCCCAAGAGAGTCAAGTGGAAGTCCACCAGGTTTGCCCTTGATGAGATGGCGGGCCCAGGCTCAGAAGTCGATTCTCGGCAGCGATGACCGCTGAGAGTTGGCAAACCAACCCCCTCCAATGGTTCAAGAGTTGTCTATAAATGGACAACTGCTGGGAGGCCCTTGGTGCAAGACAAGGAAGCTTTTCGGTCGTCCCCTGTCTAGCGGTGATAGAACAATGATCCCATTGATGTGCCAGCTTACGGTTGACCGTTCACTGTATCACTTTGCTTTATCTATGTGGCCGCGTGCCTCAGCAGAAACTCACATTCAAAGTGGACGTTTCCTGCAGACACCCACCAGTGTCAGAGTTGGCGATGATCCGCCACTGTTGTTGTTGGTATTGGCATCAAATCCTCCGCTGGATGCATGGAGCATAAAGGATATGTACAACCAATTCTTGCGTACCCCCTGTTTTTTTGTTTTGTCAGGTATGATAGGTTTCCAGACAGGACCAAATCTCACTTTACTCGCACGTCTTTGCTATAGAGAACCCTTGGCTTCAACATGAATTTTGCCCTTTCCCCAAAATTTGATTGTCCTTCATGTAATGCATGGTGTTGGGTCTAGATTTCGCTGGCACAAGCCTTTCACGACAATCTGAGGGAACCAGCCCGGTCACATGTGCTCTGAGGAAATCTTTTGCTCCCTGGATGAGCAGGAGCTTCAAGAAATTCTGCTGAATGCCCAGCGCAGGCCGCTTCCTTGCACTATGAAGCCTCCAAAAAGCGCTCGACCTGGGCGGTCCAATTCCATGTCGAAAAACGTCCACTTGCGACTTGCCATCCATCACATGCTTGTCTACAGAACAATGAAAGAAGCATGCTTTCCTAACATCGGCTTTGACTGTCTCGAAATGCTTCAAAGCACAGGAGATTAGTAGGCACAACATTTCCTTGCTCACCTTGTCAGGCAGGAAAGAAACTTTGAAAACATCAAAGTCACCAAAGTCCATGTCACTTGGGCACAGACGGTACAGACATGAGTGGTGGCCTGAAATGGGCACAAAGAGCGACTGGACCCTGGTATTCGATACCAGCGTTTTGATTTTGTACCGGCAGTTAAGGCACTTGTGCAGTACCAGTCACATGGATCGGATAGTTTCTAGCACCCAAATGTCATGCTGTTTGAACAGGAGTTTCTTCGCCTTTTCGCTTGTTTGATTGCATTTTCAGTGAACATGAATCGAACTTCCTTCCGAGGATGTAGTTGAATTCCATCGGGTCTGGAACTGGTTTTCCCACTTTTTTTGCTGCGAATCCATGCTATTTGTCACTTGCCGAGGTGACACCAGCAAAAGCCACGACGTCCATGTATCGGCTGAAAGAGCTTCCACTTGACAGTTCTTTGGCGGCACAACGATCAGGTGAGTCAATTGAACAAGAGCCCCTTTGTTCTTTTGGCGTGTTCATACTGTGTTTGTCAGATTTCACTCTTTGAGACAGCAAGCCTCCTATGTCCATTTTGGTCATTGATTCTGGGGATGCGGAACTTTGGCATAGAAGAGTAACAATTTGAGTGCGTTCTGCGTAAAGAGCC